AATTCTATATTGATTTGATTAATACAGAAACTGTGTTTTCTTAGTGATGCATAAGGAAGTAAGGAGTATATGTGATGTATCTGCTTCCATATCTAGTTCACTTATGCCACCTAAGATGCACAGCTTAGGTGAGCCTTGGATACAGCAACTAAACCATGTGTATAAGTCTTCACATATCCTCTGCCAGAACCTCTAAACAGCAGAATTGTCTTTGCAGTAGGTACATATGTTTGAGTGTGTAAAGCCCATTTGGAACAACCTTTGTCCTGTACAGTGTGTTCTACGAAGAATTTTGCATTGTATAAGATGTAAGTTGGGGCTTTTAGTCATTTTGAAGGCGTTTAAGCATAATTCAGGGTAGCGGAGGGGCTGGATCCTACCACAAGGTGAGAAAACCAATCTATTATCACCTATGGCCAATGTAAAATTAACGTAACCCCATGCAGATCTTTGAATAGGATACTGGCAGACACAGAGAAAGCATGTAAACACCACATAAAAAAGGATTGCTGGACTCAAACCCAGGACCTATTTGCTGTGAGACAACAGTGCCAACCACTACACTACCGTGCCACTCACACAAACTTTGCAAACCAACAGCTAGAAGGTTTTTCAATGCATTTGGAAAGAAAGTGTTTAATGTTAACTCAAAATTGTCAACCTCACAACATTTATTAAGAAGTCTTTTAACATCCACGATCGGATTATCATGACCATGATCATGACCTGGACAGGTTGACAGTGTATCACAGGGCTTTTTTATTCCTGTATTCCATTATTTTTCTACCGAGAGAGCTAACACTAGTGATCATCACGGCTGTGTACATTCCACCCGATGCCAACGTAAACATGGCGCTCTCTATCCTGCTGAACACCATTAACGAACAGCAGCGGGCCCACCCGGACGGTGTTCACATAATTGCAGGTGACTTTAATAAGGCCAACATAAAGACTGTACTCCCAAAGTTCTATCAGCATGTCAAATGTCCCACCAGAGGAGAAAACACTCTAGATCATGTTTACTCCAACATCAAGCATGCATATAGAGCCATACCCCTCCCCCACCTCGGTCAGTCCGACCATCTCTCCCTCCTGCTCTCCCCAGCCTACACCCCCCTCAGGCGCAGTGCCAGGCCCACCACAAAGACTGTTACAACCTGGCCGGAAAATGCTCTCTCCAAACTACAGGACTGCTTCACAGAGACAGACTGGGACATATTTGAACACCAGGACCTAGAAACATTCACAGGATCAGTACTGGACTACATCAAGTTCTGTACTGCAAATGTGACAGTGGACAAAAGCATTCGGGTTTTCCCAAATCAAAAACCCTGGATGACCAGCGAGGTCCGCTCACTCCTCAAAGCCCGTGATGCTGCCTTCAGGTCAGGTGACAGAGCTCTGTACAGGGCTGCTCGAGCTGACCTGAAAAGGGGGATTAAAAAAGCCAAGTCAGACCACAAAAGGAACATCGAGTCCCACCTGTCCAGCAACAACACACGAGAGGTGTGGCAGGGAATGCAAGACATCATCAACCACAGAGGCAGTACTGCAAAAACAGAAAACCCGAGTGGGCAGCTGGCAGAGGAAATAAACAGCTTCTTCGCCCGCTTTGAAACACCACAACAGCAACACTCATCTGCTTCAGCCCTGCTCCCATCCTCATCCTCACCTGGTTCCTGCACCGCCCCACTCACTGTAACAGAGCACGATGTCAGACGTGTGCTCCTAGCAGTGAACCCCAGGAAGGCGGCCGGTCCAGATGGAGTACCTGGCAAGGTACTAAGAGCATGCGCACACCATCATCTTCACCAGACTCTTCAACCTCTCACTGGATCAGGCAGCCATCCCATCCTGTCTAAGATCAGCCACAATCATCCCAGTGCCGAAGAAGTCTCCCATCTCCAGCCTGAATGATTACCGCCCTGTGGCCCTCACACCGGTAATCATGAAATGCTTTGAGAGACTAGTCCTTCAGCACATCAAGGATTACCTCCCCCCAGAATTCGACCCCCACCAGTTTGCATACCGTGCAAACAGATCCACAGAAGACGCCATCGCCACAGCCCTCCACGCTGTGCTGAGTCACCTAGAGCACGGCAAAGCTATGTCCAAATGCTCTTTGTGGACTACAGCTCAGCCTTTAATACAATCATCCCGGACATCCTCATCACCAAACTGGTCACTCTTGGCCTCCCTCCTCTCACATGTGCCTGGATAAAGGATTTCCTCACAAACCGGCCCCAGACTGTAAGACTCGGCCCTCATCTCTCCTCCACTCGCACACTGAGCACCGGCTCCCCACAGGGCTGTGTGCTGAGCCCCCTCCTGTATTCTCTCTACACCCACGACTGCAGTTCGACCCACAACAACACTCTCATCATCAAGTTTGCTGATGACACCACGGTAGTCGGACTCATCTCGAAGGGAGACGAGGCAGAGTACAGAGAGGAAGTCCTGAAGCTGGCAGCATGGTGTTCAGAAAACAACCTGGCACTGAACACTAAGAAAACCAAAGAGCTCATTGTTGACTTCAGGAGACACAGCACCGACTTGGCCCCCCTCTACATCAACGGGGAGTGTGTGGAGAGGGTCCACACTTTCCGGTTCCTTGGTGTCCTCATCTCTGCTGACATCTCCTGGACAGGAAACATCTCAGCGGTCATCAAGAAGGCCCAACAGCGGCTGCACTTCCTGAGAGTCCTCAGGAAGTACAAGCTGAACTCCAACCTGCTGCTGACCTTCTACCGCTCGTCCATTGAGAGCCTGCTAACCTACTGCATCATGGTATGGTACGGCAGCTGCACCAAAGCAGATAGAGTGAGGCTTCAGAGTGTGGTCAAGACAGCACAAAAGATCATCGGCTGCCCTCTCCCCTCCCTGATGGACATTTATTCCTCCCGCTGCCACTACGCTATATGAATTTAGAAAACAAGATTACATCATAACATGGGAACACATTTGTTAAAAGATCCTTATTTATGTCTCTAAAATGTAAAATCTAGACTTAAAATGTGGACTTAAAGTGAGATGTCTGGAACACTACTCCTTTGGTTAAAATAATAAAAAAATAAAAAATAATAAATAAAAAAAAGGTGTAGTTCATAAAAACTCATGAAAAATCCTCATTCATACCTCTGGGGTACAGACGCTTAAAACGGAATATCCAAAATGCTTCTCTTTTTTTCCGGATAAAATTTATATTGCCACCTTTTTAGTGGTTTAGTTTAATGGCTTCAATGCCTAGGAAAAATAATGGTGAATTTGGATGTTTATTATTGAAGTGTCTTGCAACAGGGCTGGTTAAATCATTCCTCTTGATCGAGCTTCTGTGTTCGTTAATTCGATCTTTAAGAGGGCGGGATGTTTCTCCTATATATATTTTATTGCATGGGCACTGTATCATGTAGATTACATTTTTAGTTCTGCATGTGATAAAGCCCTTTATGGCAATGGTTTTGTCACCTATAGGGTCTTTGAATGATTTAACATTTTTGGTGTATTGACAATTAATGCATGCCCCACACTTGAAATTGCCATGTAGGTTATGGGTTATCAGGATTTTATCTGGAGTAATAGGGTCCTGGTAAGCTCTAACAAGCCTATCTTTGATATTCCTTCCTCTCCTGTAGGTTATCATTGGTGGTTCTTTGAAGGTACCTAATAAGTTTGGGTCATTCTGAAGGATATGCCAATGTTTTAGAATTATTTCTTTAATTGTTCTGGTTTTTGGCGTAAAGGTTGTGCAGAAGATAAGGTTGGGTTTATGTTTTGGAGATTTCTTGGTTGTTAAATAGACATCCCTACTTACTGAACTCACCTTCTCTTCTGCAGAACTTCAACAGTTCTCTTTATACTTTCTTTCTTTGAATTTGTTCAACATCTCTTCTTTACTCTCATTATATTCATCATGAGTCTCACAGATACGCTTGAGTCTAATCAACTGGCTTACAGGGAGGCTCTTTTTGAGGTGGTTCGGATGGAAACTTGCAGCATGTAATAATGTATTCCGATCAGTGGGTTTAGAATACAGAGATGTGGACAGAGATTTGTCTTTTTTTGTTACTTTCATGTCCAGAAAGTTAATTTCTTCAGTACTGTAATTGAGGGTGAAACGTAAGCCTGCAAAGTGTCCATTAAGGAATTCTACAAACTCTAGTAATATAGAGACTGGTCCTTTCCAGAGTAGAAATACGTCATCTATATAACGTTTCCAAGATACAATGAATGGTAAATAAGGGTTATTTTGGTGATTATATAGAATTTGTTCTTCCAGATGACCAACAAAAAGACAGGCAAAACTGGGGGCCATTTGGGTTCCCATTGCAGTGCCAGAGATCTGAAAGTATGGCTAAAATTTGGCATGAACTTTTAGTTTTTCAAAGAGAAAAATATTTCGATTAGTAAATTTACGTATTTCACAAGCACCTTTTATACATCTTAATTGCTTTCTATCTAACATTCACACTCTGATAATCACGCTGGAAATAACTTAGATTCAGTATCTTGGCCAAGAACACTTTGGGGATATAGGCTAAAGCAGCCAGGGATCAAACTCCCAATCAGTAGTTACATTTATTTGAATTATGCAGGGGTAGTTAGGTTAGCCACAACAACCATCAAGTAACAAATGACAATTGTGTGTGTGTGTGTGTGTGTGTGTGTGTATTATGTACATGGTTCTGTGCTATACCATGCATTATGCATTGGTTCTGTGTGTCTGAATATGTCTAACTACTCTGTATGTAACAAGAGTTACGAGCCTATTTTAAAAATATAGGGAGTATGATTAAAAAGTTGTCAGAAAAAAAACCGACTCAAATAAAGTACTGATACCTGATAATTGTACGTAAGTACAGTAACGGAGTATTTGTATTTCGTTACAGTAACGAAGTATTTCCAACTCTGCTTAAGTGTAATGAAACAGCTCCTAGTATCCCTCACTGTTTTTAAAGCTTCGTTTATTTATTTATTTATTTATTTAATCAAATTTCCATTTGTTCCGCTCGCTTGGGTTGACTTTACTGTGTGTTCCGTTGAAACCTGTCCGGCGGAAGTTGTGATCAAGGCCTCGTCACAAAAGCAATGGCGAGCGGTATCGGCAGTGAGTAATATATTTCAAGTCTTTCTGTTTTTCCTCGTCATTTATAGACAGTAGTAATAGCAAACAAACTCCAAGCCTTGCAGCTAGATTATTTTAGCCAGAACCTGTAGCCCCTTACCTTGCTAAAACGTTGCACCGTGTTTACCTGTGTGTGTGTGTCTCACGAATGTGTCCCCCTTAATCGACTATGCTAAGCTAACGCTATAAATTAAATATTAGCAATGCGTATGTTGTTGTTTTTTTCTAGAAATGTATGTGATACGTCTCTTGATAGGGTTGTGTGTTTTAACTTATATTCACGCCCCAGTAAACGTGAGGAATGCTTTGCTGTAATCATATTAGCATACCCAAGCTAATATCAATAGTGTAGCATTAGCTAGCTACCTTGGCTAAATAACGAAAGACGTTTAAATCATTCATTTGACGCCGTTGCCCTTGGTTTTTTTTATATTTTTAAACTTAAAATAACGTTTTCAACATATTACGATCTGAACGGTTTTTATTGACCGTACGAGAACAGGACCGTCGTATGTGTGGTACTTAGCGAAAAAACAATAACAAACCATTAAAAAAACTGAGACAGTCCGCAGAGACTGATTCGTCATCTGACTGATGATAGTGTTCTTCTTAGAAAAAATACTAGTTTTTTTTTTAACATGTTTTTGTGTGTATTTGACCAAGTAAGCAGGGATAGAAAGTTCCGTAAAATAGCACTCAATTAAAAATAATGTTAATTGGGATTTTACTCAATTAAAATTGTCAAAACGCAGTCAGATAATATTGCTAGTAATAACAAAGCCATAACGTTACAATCTAATGTGGCAGAACTACTACTACACGTAACCACAAGCCCCATATATTTTATGTTCAGTTACTGAGATTACCCTCAGATGCTTTTGCAATTTGGATGGAAGCTTGTGTGGCAGAATGAAGTTAACTGAGTTGTTTCGGAATGTCTCATATTTTATGTGGCTCTTTTTGAGCCATTGCTTTTGCCCTAAAATACAGGTTTTCAATTAGCTTCTTTCAGCTGTGCCTTTTAGGGGTCACCACAGTGGATCATCTGGACCATCTGCCTCTATCTCACCCAACCCCTAACATCCTCTTCTGTCGCACCACCCTCTGCATAGTCCTCCTCCACTGCATCCACGAATCTTCCCTCTGTTCTTCCCCTTTTCTTTCTGTCTTGTAGCTCCATCTTCAGCGTCCTTTGTTCAGTATATCTATTATCTTTCCTCTGGTCATATCCAATCAGTCAGCTATCTCCCTTTCCCAGTCCCTGCTCTGTCCTCCACGCTCCAAAATTTCTCTGTTACTGACTCTAGCCACACTAACCTTGGCCTTCTTCTAATCTGTCTTCACTCATCAGTGGCATAGTTTCCACTGGTACTCTGCTTGCCAGCAGCACTGGTTGCAGTTTGTGGGCTCCTGACCAGTCCAGTATGCAGATCTTACTAATGAGCCACATGATTGGATTGGTGATGATTTTAAGTCAGATCCTCTTCCTGATGCACCCCTCTCCATTATTCATTTGGGTTTGGGGAAAGCCAGTACACTGTGTACTGGCTTGTGGCACCCTGTGGCTTGTTAGCTAGTAGCAACAAAGTAGCAGGAAAAACAGTCAATCGTGTAATAAATTCTTCTTTCCCCCCAACAGAACACAAGATACTGAATGTGGGGCCGACGGAGCCCTGGTCAGTCAGGGAGAAATTGTGCCTGGCCTCCTCTGTTATGAGGAGCGGAGACCAAAACTGGTAAAAAGAAATATGCTCAGCTACTTTTGTGTGTGTGTGTGTGTGTGTGTGTGTGTGTGTGAGAGATTTAGTTTGCCCATGGGACCTCATATTCATATTTTAAATGTGTTGGAGAAATGCTGTAAGGAGAAGATATGTAAAATGATTTAAGGATCTTGTTTGATAAATATAACTGTAATTGTATTTACTATCATTATATACCACTATTTTTCTGCAGTTCTCCTAAAAATGAGCCATATAATATGAAAATTATCTTCAGAGGGTTTTGTACCATTTCTTTTAAGATATCAGTGTTTGCAAACAGTTTGTGCTTTCCCTAAGATTACCAGTTTTTGTCTAAATGAACCATCGAACTAGAATATATCAGATTGAGTGTCTTAACAATGATCCTTATGGTGGTTATTGTTCTGTGCTCATAATCTGTTTCAAACACTGGCAGTAGGTGAGTGCAAGGCAGTTCGTAAGACAAAATAATATTATTTTATTTTATTTTTAAAATGCTTGTTATTGTTAGATTATCTGCTTAATGCTTGAGTTTAGTCTGAGGAGACTCTCTGTGTTCCAGGGTAAGTGTAAGTAGAGCCATCAAGCCTTTCGCAGAGCCTGGGCGTCCACCAGACTGGTTCTCACAAAAGGTGAGAGCATAACAAATATTCCTTTTGTGAATTTATCTCACACTTCACTTCCATAAGTCTTCAGGAAAATTGTCTTTTGAGTGTAACTGCAGTTGGACTGATCTCCTCTGCTCACCTATAAGAATAATTTGTTCTCTGTTTCTCAGCACTGTGCCTCACAATATTCAGAACTGCTGGAAGCTACTGAAGCCCCTAAGTCAGTATTACAGTGTGTACACATATCTGTGTGCAGATATAAAAAGTAAACAATATTATTATGCATTTTAAAAATAATTTGAGAGTTGACTCAAAATGTGTGTTTTCCTGTTCCAGGCGTAAGCGCGGTGAGAAGGGCGAGGTGGTCGAGACCATCGAAGATGTCATCGTTCGTAGGCTGACCACTGAGAGAATAGAGGAGTTAAAAAAACTTATACGAGATACACAAGAGCAGTACAGGTACATAAACTCTTAAAGGGAAAACATTTGACAACTTTGATATCTGAACTTTAACCCCTTTTTGCTTTGTTTGTTTTAATCACAACAGGAAGTTGAAGAAGGAGGTGGATCTGATACAGATGGGTCACATGGACTCCCAGCTGAAAGAGCTTTGGGGAGAGATCACACTGTAAGCATCTTATCTGTGGGATAGTGCTTCCACCTAACGGGTGGATTGCCATGATAGCTGTTTCACACAACCAACTCCAGTGTGTTAAAGATCTTGCAGAACGCTGCCAGTAAAACTTTGCTCTGTTTGCCAGTAACCAACAACTATACATGTTTTGTACACTGTTCTTTTATTTATATATATATGTGTGTGTGTGTGTGTGTGTGTGTGTGTTTTCTAATATATCTCTTATTCACATTTTTCTTCTGTCTGTGCTGCTGTAACAAGTAAATTTCCCCAATGTGGGATTAAAAAAGTATATGTCTGTATCTCTGTAGATGAGTGGGTTATTTAGATAAATGAGGGCGTTCTCTCATTTAGTTTTGTATACAAACTGTTATATTGTCATAAAATGCTCATTTTTTTTGTTTGTTTTTTTAAATTTGTCTTACCTAGAAAGAAGAAGCAGGACGAGGAGGAAGCAGAGCAGAAGAGGAAAGCCACAGAAATGGCGTACCAAGGTAGTTTAGGTTCACTTTCACTCTACGAAGGCTGGTGCATGTATTTCTTAGGAAAAGGCGAAGAATTAGTTGCAAACTTGTTGCTCTGTGGTGGGTGTTGCCATTGTCATTGTCTGTATGTTATGGTAAGATCTGTCAGAGTTTGAAGTTAAGTATATATGTCATACTATTAAAATTCGAGTGAGTCATTTGATATAAAAACAAAGTTCCCATATGAAGCTGAAACCTGTGATCTTGGTAAACTAAGGGACAGATTTGTGAAGGTAGAACTTCATTTTGTACCTACAGGTTTTTTTAGCATAAAGATTTCCCTTGTTGGCACGAACTCTAAGCTAAGATTAAAGACGACCATCTCTCACATCCACGTACAACCAGGAAGATTCAAATCACACGTCGAACCTCGGCCCACACATGTAGCCGACCTGTTGCAAAGCCCTTGTGGTTTTGGCTATGTGGACAATACTAGAAGGGAATTAGGATGTCTGAAAACAATAGCACTCTAAAAAATGATGAGAGGTCCTCTGTAGCCAGGCATTTTATTTCTCCTGGACTATTGCACTCTACATTTTATGGCTATTTGAGGTTGTTGGATAGAGGAAACGTTTTGAAAATAGAGTTTAGACCATCTGCAAACCGAGAATCATGAAGATGAAGTAGAAAAATTCTTTGCTGTAATTTATAGTTTGATATTTTTAGGAAGGGGAGGGAAGCTTAATAAAAACCTTAGGGGTAACATAGATGTGAGATCAGAATCAACTGAGAGGATGTAATAAAGCAGGAGTATATGCATCTATATCTCAGAAGATTGCAACTTCTCGTCCTTCTTGGAATGTTTCTCAGCTTCTCCTAAGACAAGAGCATCTTTCACTCAAGTGCTTGGGTTGGAGTGATGATCCTCTCACATGATGTTCAGGATTTCTCTGCTGCTTTTTTTCAGATTTGTTTTTAAGGAGAGTTTGAAAATTGTCATGCTCACCTCCACTCTGGTCTTCTGTCTGTATTGCAGCTCGCCAGGCAGTGAAAAACACACCCAAGCGTCTGCCCAGTGTGACTTTACGGTCTCCCCTGGGTGCCAGCCCGCCAAACCTGGATTCTCAGACTGACTCTTCAGTGCCCACTCCATCCATGGATACAGGAGCCGGTGTCTCTGAAGATACAACAACCACCACCCACTCAGTTGTAAGAACACTTAGTTTGCCATATATACTTGTTTAGCTCACAGGATAGAAGAATGATGGTGAAGGGAAATGAGTTTATAAGAGTCCCAGTTTTCTGTTAAGAGATAAATTTCAGCCAAGCTCACAGCAACATAAACCATTTTTCACTGCAGTGAATATGGAGACGTCTACAGTAACATTAAACATGAGTATATTCGGCCCCAGGGGTTATAGTTTTTGCCTCATTACAAGTCAGAGGAATAAGATCATCTCGCTCCGTCTCAATGACTTCTCTGCTGTCTGTCAGGCTCAGGGAGTAGGAGTGTTTCTGCCAGCAGCAGACCCTCCAGGACCTGGGCTCAAAGATGGTGGACTCGCTGTTCTAGTCGATGACTCGCCACAGAAAAGGCTCCTAGCCCAGAAGGCCACACCGCCACCCTCACCTCTACTGTCAGAACTGCTGAAAAAAGGCAACCTCATCTCAGCCAGCCCTCGCCTGGTGAGAGGCAACTTAGCATGGCTCATAACATCCAGAAACGATGTGATTACAATGAAAGCCTTTGTGCGAGTCTTGCTCAAAGGCTTTAGACTCAGTTCTGTAAAATACCTGAAAACCAGCAATGTGTGAAAACAAATCATTTAAATGCATCTGTAAAGTGCAAATCGATTTGGAGTATTTTTAAATTCCTGGCTAAGCCACTGAGTTTTGATACCTATTCTAATACTAACATTCAAAGAATGAAAGTAGGACTTGATCCACTCAGTGGGCAATAAAGCCTTATTGTGATATTCTAACATCAGTATTCTTTTAAATCTTCTTTTATGCTCTGATATTTTTTATTAAACCTCACTTTGGTGTTTTTGTTGTTGTGTTTTTTCTGATGTCAGGTTGCAGAGGGCGACTCCACTGGAAGCCTAACTAATGGCGTACAGACTGCTACGGCAGCCACTGCCTTACCACCTGGCCATGACATCATCACAGGTAAACACACCTAACTAAGTTTCACATTACACAGGAGCTACTTTCTTTACAGCTTGCCTGGTTGCTGTCCTGGGAAATGATTGCATTCATGGGGCTCCTAAAAATGTCCTGATTTTAAAAAGCAGGTTAAACAAAACCTAACTGGGCATCGTGACTCCTGGTTACTTGTAATTAAGATAGACAGAGCATGTTCAAAGTAACACTAAATGTCTTGGGGGTGTCTGGGGGAACGTTTTTGCTTGTCTCTCCTCCTCCTTTTTTTCCTGTTTTTCTACAGTCTGTTTCTAAATAAAGTCACACGTCCGCGTTGTTGCATTTTAGTCATTGTTTCCTGGTTCAAAGAGGGAGATACGGGTCTTAACTTTGCAGTAAGATTCTTGTTGCATGCTTGTGTTCTTATTTCGTCACCTGCACGGGTTTACAGAGGGGGAAGCGGAGGCCGCAGTGAAGGCAGAGCTCGGTGAGGACACGGGATTAGTAGAAGAAGACCTCGTGGCTGTGTCTTACATTGGTGATGAACTGGACCTGGAGACAGTGGGAGACATCATTGCCATCATTGAAGAGAAGGTACGTACTGTGTAGGGGCTGCATTCGTTTGAGATTAATATGACCAGGAGCAGAGTTTATTTTGTAGGTTTAATATCAAGTATTTTAGTCGTTGATTAAGGCAATGACACTAAAAACAAACTAATACAAAGAAAATATGATTTAGAAAATATTTAGTGTTAATTGGAAAACAAAGAATGAAATTTTCCATATTTTATGTTCCCATTGTCAGACTTGGACTAAACATTTAGCTAAGAGTGGCCCTGAAGAATCTCTAGAGCAGAACAAGGACTGCCTGTAGATGGCACAACTACACTGAGGATTGTCACAGCAGCAACCTGAACAGACTGCCTACAGGAGAGCACTAGACAGGAAGTACTGACAATCGCTCGTTAACAGCAACTGAATTTTCACAATAAGAAAAAGGGGATTTTTTCCAGTAGTATATTGGTTTCTTTATTCCTTTGGATGGGGGGAAAAAATGTAAAATCTCAAAATTCACTTGGCCCACCCAACCCCTAGAGCCGGTGCCAAACATAAAGTCTGCGGCCAGGCAAAGACTCCAGTCCGACCCACTGGACAGCTTTGGAAAATGTGAAGGAGGGCGTAAATTAAAGAGGCCTTTCACACTGCACCAAAGTACTTAAGTAATAGCTTAGCAATTAAATAAGAGAAAAGTTCCTGTGTTTTCACTGTAGAGGTTTCTGTGGTTTTTAGTGGTTCCACAGTTAAAACATATTTTCTGTGACTTAACAAAAACTTTGCCAGAACTTTCTGGAATTTTACACATTTTTTTCTTACAATTTAAACCCAAAGAGTCGCGTTAATACATTTTTCTCATTTGCTACATCAGCGTTTCTTTAAGACATGCTGTTGAAATTGCACTTCCTTTTCAAATATTAAGACATCTCAGAAAGGTGAGTTTCACAGCTGTCTCAAGATCAAAGTAGGCTGGATGTGGCCCATGATGTAACGATCACAACCATAGTGTGGTCAATGAACTCCTACCAGTATGAGAGCCATACTGGAAGGAGCCTAGTGATCCCAGTAAGGTCACATGTGTCTGACAGGTCAGGAGGAAGAGGCCACAGTTATCGCTGGTGGTTTCGGTAGGTTGGGGTTTAGCTTAAGAACTCCTCGTGTTTTTTTTGTTTGTTTGTTGTTTTTTAATTGGAGACACTTCATTGCTGCTCTGACAGTCAGCAGGTCTAATACCCGCTCTTTCACTAACCTGGCTCCCCATGTAAAGTTCATGTGTGGGGAAACACTGAAACAACATAATGGTTTATCTTTTTGATCATCATCCCAGGACGATGACCCTGTGGCTTTGGATGCAGCTGCGGTGGAAGCAGCTCTCTCTCTGTGCGAAGAGGCCGTGTCAGAAGGTCACACCCTACCTGGCCCCTGGGAGACCCAAGAGCTGAAAGCTTCAGAGCCCACACCCACCATCCAAGAGTCAGCCCCCCCACAGACACCTCAGGATATGGTCGCAACATTAGCCCCGACACCTGCCAGCCAGGAGACACAAAACCAGCCAGATACTAACAGGGAAGAACCGCTTAAGGGAAACTATGAAGGACCTGAGGTGACGGGAAGTGATGTCACTTCTTCTGTCACCTCTGATGATGGTGTAGCAGCAAGTGAAGTCGCAGAGGAGGGGCCCGTGGTCAAAGAAGTCACTGAAGCTACAGTGAAGAGTGAAGGAGAGGAGTGGAGTCAGCCTGAGCCCAACCCACCTTGCTTAGGTGCGTGGATTACACACCGATCTATACCCACAGTGGAAATGCTCACACATTTCTGTTTTCTCATTGTCTCCTCGTTTCTGTCCCACAGACTCTGAGGACAGCTCTGTGTCCGGGAAAGAGTCCAAGGTAACACATTTAAGGCTACGTACATGTGTGGACGGCATATGATAACAAGAATAACCGTTATTTTACTCTGTGTGCTTGAATCCAGGAGGTGAAGGAGGAGGAGGCAGGGAGCGAGGGCGACCCCGAAGAAGCGATGGAGCTGAAGGACGAGTGTGGAGAGGGGGAGGGTCCATATTTATCTGAGGTGGATCGGGCAGCAAGTGAGAGTGAGGATGGATACGGCCCGCCCTCCCAGCGCTACACTGCTGATTCACTGGCCAGCAGCCCGGCCTCTTCTTCCCAGCTGTAAGTGTCCAGGTGCTTATTCTTCCAGAAAGGGCGTAGGCAAAAATATTCACCCTGTCCCTGGTTTTACCAGTAATAGTAAAACCAGGAGTCTGTTTCTCCTGAAATAACCCCTGCTATTCTTCTTAACAAAAATATTAGGGGAAATCTTTCTTTGAAAATGGATCAAACTTAGCTGACTTTTGTCATTTTCATTGGGCCAACAGTCTAACAGTATATGCTTTTGTTTTTTTTGCTTTTCTCTCCCACTCTGCTCCGACTGCCTCTCTCTTCTTTCCTGCGTCAGCTCTACATGTGGCGAAGACCAGGAGGCGGTCCAGGCGCAGAAGATCTGGAAGAAAGCCATTATGCTGGTGTGGAGAGCTGCAGCCAATCACAGGTAGAGCTTTGTACCAGAGCTCAACAATAAATTGTTCAAGTCTTGTTTTTTTTGGTCAGTAAGTTCAAATCAATTTCATTTGATTTATTTATTTTTGTCTTATTATTGTGAGTTTCATCAATTTCCAGCTTTTTGTATCGAGCTGGTGTGACTGAATGAGTAACTACATTGTTGGACATGCTGCAGCGCGTTTGCATGAAACCATTTGACTTTTTCCAGTCAGTTAAAGAAGTTAGAGACTCGCTTGAATCCTACAGATTAACCCGGGTCACGTTGTTGAGAGGAAACAGGTGTTTTACTTTTGCTAATATTGTGTTTCTCAGGTACGCCAGCGTCTTCCTACAGCCTGTGTCAGATGACATCGCTCCAGGTTACCACAGCATTGTACACAGGTCAGACCGCACACACACACCCTTCATTTTTGAAACAAGCTCAGCTAAAAATCGTTGCAGCCTAACTGTTCAACTAAAGTACCAAAACAAACTAACTGCTGCTGCTTTCTTGCTGCAGACCCATGGACCTGTCCGCCATAAAGAAGAACATCGAGTCCGGTGTTATCCGTACCACCGCTGAGTTCCAGCGCGACATCATGCTGATGTTTCAGAATGCCGTCATGTACAACTCGTCGGACCACGACGTGTACCACATGGCGCTGGAGATGCAGCGCGACGTCCTGGAGCACGTCCAGCAGTTCCTGGCCACCCAGCTCATCATGCAGACCTCAGAGAGCGCCATCTCTGCCAAGAGCCTCCGAGGCAGGGAGGGAAATCGTAAACCAGGAGAGCCAGCCGAGAAGGTGGGTTGAGCAGCAGACAAGTCTGATTGTGATGAAGCAGAGTTCTTTATTAAAAGCAAAAGAAAGTTTCCACACATGCCAGTGCTGATGTTTTGTAACTACACTGTAAACTCTTGCCTCTCTCCAACACTGAGTGCTGTGACTCCTGTTAGATCGGTGCAATAAATGTTCTTCCAGGTATTTAGAGTTTTATGATGCCTGCAAAGCTACTGCGAACAGTCCCTCTGCCCGCCTCCAAGAGAAGGTGGAGAAATCTAATCTAAGTTTAATGCATTTTAATTATTTACAGGAAGTGCACAGTCCCAGAACTGGCTGTTTCTTGTAAACCACAGATAGCACTTCCAGTTTATGGAGTCATAAAGTTTTTTTTTATTAAGGGCATTTTATATTGGTGTAGATAAATGTGTTTGGTATATCAGGACCATAATTTCAGTGTGCCATCATGCTGCGGTTGGCAGTCATTTCAAAACTGGATGAAAATACACGCTTATGTGGAAGAAACATAAATAGTGGATTCATTAAATGTTTTTGACGTGTCAGTTATGCTCTGTGAAATGTCACAGACAGACATGCTGTTTTATTTACTGTCAGCATATGAAACCTGAGGAAGCTGTGGGTTCAGCACACATTTAAGTGACCATGCAGTCAGTGTAGTTCTGATTTATGTCACATAGAATATGACAAATGGACTAGTTTTCTAAAAGAACTTATTGAAGAATTGACCTCGATACACCTCACCCTGTCTCCACATTACGATCCCAGAGTGATGCTACTGTACTGTGTCAGTGTGGTGTGAAGTACCAGAAACCAGTGGTGTGATTAGGACACAAGGAGTTAAGAGTGCCAATGTATTAAAGGGTCGGCACTGATGTGCATCATACAAGTTAGGCATGCTCACTTTGTTACACAGCACTGTCACTTCTAATTGCTGTAAGTGCACTTTCTTAATCTTGACTTCCCAGCTGCTTCACATCCTGCATGCTGGCTGCACCGGTGCTGTCTCTCTAGTCTATCTCTGACCCTCTGCTCTGTTTCCTGTTTCTCTCTCTGCATCTCCTACTGTGTGTGTGTGTGTGTGTGTGTGTGTGTTATTTTCTCCCATACATTGCATATAAAAAATGGATGTAACTTCATCCTAGCTAACCTTTTTCTTCCACTCTTGTTCTCAAACATGGAGTCATTGTGGAAGTGCCTTAAACATTAATTTCTTCTTATCGCCAGCAGGGGGTGACAAAAGGTTGTCTGTGGAAAAATGACACTTCAGCTCCTTTGATCTATTACCTCAGTAAACACTTTTCTGATGACTGTCTTAATAAAACATGAGGTTCATTTTATGAAGAGTGAAAAACAGGATAAAGCTGTAGCGTGGCACGCAGCGTCCCTGAATGTGTCAGTCAGATCCAATCCTCGCTCGTCATGTTTGGTTTCAAAATAATAAAATGACGCCGTAAAAGCTCCGCTTGAGGCTTTACAACTGGGCTTTGCATTCACAGTTGTCACAGTGGCTACATCCATCTTTTATCTGCACCCTGCTTTCTCCTGTTTGAACGCTTGAGTGTGTGTCTAATAGGATATGGTGGAAATTTGAAACATTCAGACAACACATTTTGGGAAGATGTCATGTTTTCTTGGAAAGTCCACACTTAAAGATACATTTTGCAGAATATATTTAACAAATATTTCTACAGATGTAGTAAACTTTTAGTGTTTTGTTTAACTGCTACACAGCAAAGTCCAACTTCTCCGTTTTAGAACTTTAACAAGTTGTGCAAACTGTGGTGCGGTGCTTGTGAGAGGTCCTCACACCTCTGCGTTGCTTCTGTTTGTGCCTGCTTGTGTACGCGCTTCATCTCCATGAGTCTTAATATTTCCAGACTGCATTCAGAGACTGTGTGTGTGTGTCTTGATGTTGTGTAGAAATGTGCGTTTGTGTATGTGCAGCTCTGAAGTCAACAGGACCCCCATCTCCTGAGCGTGTCTCTGTGTTTGACGCAGACTTGTATGAAACTTGCTTTCTCACGCCTGTGTGTGCTTTCTCTCTCTTTCTCACTCCGATGTTTGTCCTCCTACAGGACAGTGTCCCAATGGCCTCTCCTGCTTTCCTTCTCTCTCTTTTTGTAAGTATTCAGGTTCTCGCTCAAGTTTCACCAGAGTCAGGCCAAGCTCCGTACACGCTTGTCTCAAAGCTAACATGTACACACATACACAGTGTTACACACTGCACACACCTGTCTGTACCTCTGATCTTTCTCTTTATTTCTACTGAAGCGGCTTTGGAGGACAGTAAGGATTCAAGACGCCATGAAGGTCATTAAAGGTGGACTAATACGACCAGTCAGAAAATAAAAACTATATAGATTGATAGGAGCAAAAGTCAGCTTGCAAACTATATTACAAACCTAAACTGGCCAATTTTAGTTGAACTCACTCGCACTTCAGACTGGTGGGAAATACTCAATAAAATAAAAAACAAATATAAAATCAAATGTTAAATGTAAAATAACCAAGCAACATCCTGTGGCTCTCACAAATAAATGGGGAAAGAGACACAACCTTCAGTTCTTTTAAGAGCCACTTGAGACTGGCTTTAAAAGTGAGTCAATCCTCATTGACTCCCATGTTAAAATAACCAACTCTACATCAGATAATCAGATATCACTTTTCAGCCCAATAGAAAAAAATATTTTTGGTGTCTCTGATATAATATTTACCCTGTCTGAAAGACCGTGTTTAAGTAAAAGTGGGTGTGGACTCTTTGATAGACAGCCAGTCGCCAGCAGAGACAACTGTAGCAGCTCGGTCTCTGTTAGGCCTCAGCATGGATAATTCAAGTCATCTGCATTTATAGTGTTGGTGCCTTTTAGAGTCTTTTAATTTAATTATCCATAAAATTGGCTTCAGTTTTTAACATAGTATTTATAAGTAGGTATTTCTGTGATGCAGTTTTATGGGAGCAGCTTTAGTTTTAGCTTGTAACTTGGCGCACTGCCCTCAGGATGGTTATTCTTTTTTTGTGTATTTTTATTGGCTGATAAGTTAAGATTTAAAAAGAGATTGGAGAAACGCCCTACAGCCATGAGTGTGAATGTTACATAGTTTGTCCAACAGAGGGCATGCTTCAACCACCCTGTTAGCATAGCACCACAAACACAACAACTGGCTGATTTAGACGAGTAAAAACATACAACACATAGCAAATGTGAGGAAATTGTTTGGGTTTTATGTGTCAAAAAATGCTGATATAAGAATATCAGATTGCTTCATAGTGGTTGTTTGTAAACAAGTGGTTAATGTAAAATGACCATCTTTTATATACAGCATGTTGAAATAACCATTCCTCATAGTGGCGATCCAATCTAATCGGTCAGGTTTTCCAAGACTTATGACGGCAGATTCAAAGAGATTGTTGCTCTAAACCACTAAGCTATTAAAGTGGTGTCAACTACTCAGCAGTGTAGAAGTGATTAAATGCAGAAGAGATGGGCCGTGAGCCTACGCCCATCCTGTGCTCTATAGATGTGCCATACAGATGATATAGAAATGAAAGACTTCTTCCTCTACCTTGCAGTTTCTCTCTCTCTCTCCCACTCACACTCTCTCACTCACACTCTCTCTCTCACTCACACACACACACACACACACACACACACACACACACACACACAAACAGACACTCTCATATACTGTCTGTATCACCCTCATAAACGTTTACATTTTTGTTTGCACCAAAGATTTTTCCCATCCCGCACTCACACTCTCTCTCTCTCTCACTCTCACTCACACACACACACACACACACACACACACACACACACACACACAGGTAACTTTCATCACCCAAGCTTCCGTCGACCTTCGGTTAATGCCAGTTTCCTGTGTTTTTCCGTTAATGTGCGTTAGCATCTCTGCATGTTCCAGTTTCTTTTCTCCTTGTTTTCTTTTTATTTTGCTCATGATTATTTTCTGTTCATCATTTGGGGAACGATGCCTTCCAGGGTGGATTGTGCTGTTTTTGTACGGAGCTCAATGACACAAGGAGGCCTGCCACAGGGCCTGCCTGACCTTTGACCTGTACACCTTTACGTTAAGCGTGCTCTTTCTCTCTCTCCACGTTTCTTTGTGTCTCTGCTGCAGGATGGAGGCACTAGGGGGCGGCGGAGTGCCATGGAGGCCGACCTCAAGATGAAGAAGTAGTGCAAGAGGGGGCTGAGAGCCGCTCTTCGAATCTTGCAGCTGATTGCTTTCTGGTCACTTTGGTCGTTTTCTGAAGAGGACTGTGCCGTCTCCATGTGCCTGGTTTTTGTGTGCACACACACACACACCTATACTAAGGGCCATAAGTGTGTGTGTGTCTGAGAGAGCTGTACAGTGTTTTCTTCGCTCCCATTCATGGGGCGCCATGGGATGTTGCACCAATTTTCCCAAGAATAATTTCACCAGCACGGGTAGCGGGGGTCATAATTTGCCCCTGCTGCAACACAAGGTCTTTGTGGATAGAGAACAATACTTTCACCAGCAACAGTTTGTTTGGGATCAGATGGGAACGGGCCAGGTGAGTTCTACTTGGCAGATTTGATCACTTTGAGTCGTGCATACGTCCGGCACCCGATTATGCTCAGCCCCTTTGGGCTGAACAGACGTCAACAACGAAGATGGCCACATGAGCAACCATGATGTATAGTTCCACAAATTCAAAGCGAGTCTTCTAGTTCTGCATGTTGGGCTGACACCACCCCGAGCAAAGAAATCTGTTAGTTTGATCACTGCTAAAGCATAATGGTAAAATAAGAGTTACTTAAAATATTTCATAAAATAGATTTCTGATCTTCTTTTTGGTTGCAAAATTGTGGTTTGTGTCTTCTATTAATAGTAATTTAATTAATTTGATTCAATCTATTGGCCATTGTCTACCAGTGCATGTTTCAGCCCATTAAACTGCAGATCCTTCACTTTTCTACTGATCGTACTTCTGAGTACAATTGATAATAAGGGTAATTATATAAATATAGATAAAATTCAGCCACAGGTTAAACTCAGTGTAACACTTTCAGCACTGAGCAGGGCTGCCACTGATGTTTGGCAACAAGCTCTTAACCTGAGGTATCAACAGCACCAAAAAAAGGCTTTCAAAACATTACCCGGCTCTACAAAATATTTAATTAGGTTGACCTCAAATGTCAAAGCCCTTCTTTTACAAGGAAATATACACTAAGGCCCAAAGTTGCCCTTGAAGCAGCTTTAAATACCAGTGGTTTGACAAAACAGTTGTTTTTTAATGGGCTTTAACAGATTGTTGCTGAATCATTGCCACTTATTACTTAGGATGTAGGCTGTGCATAGAGCACAGGAAAGATTTTTGTAATGCGTGTCAAGGAGTGAAGTTTTGTACTGGAAAAGGTTCATGTAGTTATGTTTGGGTAGCTGATACATTTGTGTAAATTTGTTAATAAAGATTTGATCTAAACGTGTAAGGGATCAGTTTGGGATTTAAGCAGCATTTCACTTTGAATTTGAGTAATGATTAACTTGACAAGGGGAATTCATTCTGTGGGAACAGTTTCCTGGTAACTGCATTTTGTGCCCTCAGGCTTATTGTAATCAGGAACGGGATTATTTACAGTTTCTATTACCTGTAAATGGGTCTGTAATTATGATGGTATCACAGGGTCTGTGTGATCCCAGTGTTCAAAAGAAACATGCAAACACAGCACTGAAGTTGTGCAAAAAGTTTATTTTGCATTCTGTATATTAAGAGGCATCTTTCAGGAATGAGGCCTGCCCAATCCTGTACCGACACACTTCCAGTGTACACATCTTTACATTCAAATACTGGTGCAAAAATACTGTCACCAACTACAGAATAGAGGAAAGCGAAAAATAAATATAAAAAAGAAGAAAAATAGTGGGCCTCCTGTCAGACTTTCATACAGAAAAATAAATAACTCACTTTAAAAACTACAGGAAGGCAATCAGGTTCCAGTGCATGGCAGACTACATGTAGCTGATGGTTAAAACCACACACGGGTAATGGTTTAGCGTCTCATCTTCACCCCTAGTTGAAGTCGTGAACAACAGGACTGGCAGAGGAGTAGAGCTTCCTCTTGACCAGCCGGTACTCTGGTCTCAGCTTCAAAACTTTGTTGCCATCGAAGATGTTCTTGAATGACGGCCAGCCGTCACTTTCTGCCTTGAAGACCACAGATAGCTCGAAAGTCGGTGTGACGCTGGAATCGGGGAAGATGCTCCCGATGTACTTCAGGCCATCTTTGCCATCGATGTAGAGCTTGATGGAGGCCCCCCGGAGCCCACAGGGCTCATCAGCAGAGGCACGCACCACATCCTGACTAATCCTGGTGGTCATGTGGCGAGGCAGCAGGAGCACCTGGCAGTTGAGGATGGAAGCCTTGGCCTCAGTGAGGCGACGCTCCATCTGCTGAGTCACAACCTGCTGGAAAAGCCGCTGTTCGTGCTCCAGACCGGCGTCCAGGTCAGCAACTGAATAAAGAGACAAAGCAGCGTCAGAATGAGAAACAAGTCACACCATCTCATTAGAGTTTAATATCCACGTCAAAGGGTCCCTCTTTTCTCTACACTAGCAACGTTGAGTGTCAGACCCTTGAATCAATTCACTTTAGACAGATTTTAAATCACGTGAAAGCTGCAATTAATATAGTACGTCACCAGAATAAAGGCTTTGCATCAGCAGCGAACAAGGAAGCGCTCTGAAAAGCTCAGCAAGTGATCAGCTGATCCAAAAGCTGAAGGGCTTGCATCAGACGAGTGTCCTGTGAACGAGCACTGCCAGTTCAATGCCCCATTGTTCTAGCGCGAAGGTTTAGTTACTTCCAACCGGTTCCATGGTTTACTTTGGACCATTGATATTTATTAAATAGCATTAGCTGTGCTTGAAGGCTCTGCCAGCCAGAGAGAGAGGAGTCCTTAGACTAGGAGCCCTTAAGGAAGAACCTTCGCCTTTTTTTAAAAACACTGGATAAAAGTATATAAAAAAAACAAAACACTAACTTTATGAACAACTTACAGGATGAAATGCTCTCGCTTTCTTCGTAGCTCTCGACGCTTCCCCGCCGGGATGAACTCATCTTTTGTCCTGTTGTCTTTAGCGGACAAAAGCACTTTCCTATCATCTCTACGACGTTTTCTTCCTCCGACAAGAGGTGTCCAAAGACCAGAGCCGAGCTATAGACCATCCTGATTCCTGTTTGTGAAGCACCGGTATCTCCTCCGAGCGTTTGGTCTGTGTCTTCTCCATGTATCGAGTTGGTTGAGCTGAGCGGCTGCTGTCTGTGAGCGCGGAGGTCTTATACCCGAGCTGTCAGTTGCGTCAGCTGAGCAATCGCACGTGTGGGCGGGGCTTGGTGGATTGAGCCAGAAATTTCCGGATCACGCAACGCACGAGGAGATTGCAGAAAGTTGGTGTAAAAGCTCAGTAGTTATGTGTAATATTTAGTTTTATTATTCTTTTTTTTTAATGGAGATATTTACTTATGTATCGTCCTACCTTGTAATATTTTGTGCCTTGTACACGTCTGTTGTTTTTAACTATATATATTTATGAAAGTTTCAGCCTACAAAATAATATTAATAAAAGACTAAATAGATTTTAAAAAAAGATAAATGACACATTAAAACAATTATGACATTAAAAGCACCAAAATATATCAAATAATGGACAAAATTAGTAAAATGACTTAAATTAACATTGTGTTTTTACTACCTGTTTTTACCTTTGTTTTTCCATTTTAAATTTTCCTTTCAGTTTACCTCATGAAAAACATTCCATTTTTGATGTATTTGTGTTCATTTTCTAACTCCATTCCCACACATTTTAAGAGTATTTTCTTAAAACATTTTATGACATTTTCTAACATTTATTTTTATAACCCTGTAATATACAAAAATTTTAGATTTCCTGGAGAAAGGTTTGTAAATTTATATTTTTTCAAGTAGCAAATAATCAAAAAAAAAAAATAGTGGGCAGGCAACCATTCATTATAGTAAATAAGCTGAATAAGGTTTACAGTCAGTTGATACATGATTTTTGAAAACTCAAGATCAAAACAGAGAATATTTGGATTTTCCACATAATTTATATTTCCCTATTTTTCCAGAAAACCATATGGGAAGTAACATTTATTATCTATAAAAATTTTAAGTCATATAATGTAGAAAACACACAAAGTTCACTTTTCTTCAGTCATGCTCCAGGACCTTTATTTGTAGTAGAATATTTGTATTAGCATGTGTCTGTAAATGAAGGCTCTAAATACCTGATTTAAAAAACTACTAGTACTAAAAAAAATACTAATAAATGAACATGGCATACAGGCTGCCATGGAAATATACTAGCCTGTGACGAAAATATAGGTCCGTACAGTGGGTGTTTGTGGTGTCAAGTTGAATACCACATCAGCTTTCACACAGAAATCTTCCATTGGGCTAATAGGTTTGTGGTAGTTTATTATTCATATGCAGTAAAATTACCTTTTTTGTCAGATACATATTTAACACATCTGGGCTTCTGGGTTTGGATTGTTCTCATGAATTTATCTAAAAGTGGCCTGCTGCAGATCCAAAGGTTTAAGCAATCCATCTAACTCTTATAACTGCACACAAGATTCCTCTGAATCCCACAGTGTTGTTTTCAAGTCCAGACACGATGGCGTCATAAATCATGCATTGCTCACAAATGACTGTCTAATACACACCAGTCATTTAAATTCACATTCATCTGGCGAGGGAAAGGAGCTTTATCCTCCAATCAAAGGACAGTGTTTCCATGACACCAAATAGCTCCTTGCTTTAAGTCCAACCTACTTAGGTTACGTGAGAGCAGATAACAGTAGGTTACAGGTTAAAGACTCACACCTGAGTCATGGTCTTGGGAAATCTCCCTGCTGTGAAACGTCACAGCTGGCAGCCAGTCACGTTCAGACTAGCTGCTGTCGTCAAGTCAGAGGCTCGCCACTAAGAAGGAAGCGTCTTTCTGTGGAAATGCAGGGGAACTACACTGTGAGGTGACAAGGAAATGCAATGTATAGTGACAGTGCTGTAAAACCAACACTCACTGTTTAAGACATCCAGTGTGGTGTGTGTGTGTGTTTTAATTACACAACTATTCAGAATAAGCTTTCTGTGTTTTGTCACTTCCAAAGTAAACTTCACACATGTAGTGTGTGAGGCGAGGGGTTTAATAACAGAGACTCAGATTAAGTTGTCAAACTAACACAATTTTAAATGCATAGATTATTTTTGATACGCAAGTCTGATATGGCCTCATGCAACCGGTGATTTGCACCTGTTTTAAACCCTCTGCACTTACATTCACCAAGGCATCTCTTGATGACAGTGTCCTCCAGAGTGTTGTCAGGACTTGGCTGGTTGTTGCTTTTAATAGCCAGAGAAATAATTCTGTGATCACCCTCTTCAGTTTCAGGCATTTCCAGTGCCCCTACTGTTTAGCTTCTGAAAATGCAGGAAAATGTTCAAAATTCCCAAAAAGTCCAACTTTTTTTTTCCTTGAATGAAAGCTAAGTCCACTGTGGTGGTGCAGAGAAGCACAAAGACAAGATTTGGATCACTGTCTATAAATGTATGGACCTTAATGTAAAGCATAACAATAATACAATATGTAATTCATTAAACTTAAAATAAAGTTTATTAGTGAACTCTATTATGAAGTGTTACCTTTGGTTCTTTTATTAAGATATTAAGAAAAGCTGCAAGGTGTGAGTACATGTGACACTAAATGATTCATATAACATATCCTTCTCAAAGTGAACAACACTTACTGACTCACTGCTGTAATTATAAAACATCCTGTGAGCATTCAGAAATGTGAGCAGAGGAAAAATCATGTGCAAACAGAGCACCTTTCATTTAGTGCTAAGGAAGTGTTGCTACGTAAATGTAAATGTGACTTTTCTTATTCTTTTCTTATTTGTTTATTTATTATACTTTTATTATTGCTGCCATGGTTCTTAAATGTTTTACCTGCTGCACTTTTTAACTTATTAACTTCTGGATTAAATGTGTGACCTCTAAAACGATCACTGTCTGTGGCATATTTATTATCAGCAGTGGGGAAAGAAGGCTACATATAAATGAGGGAAAAGAGAAAAACTGGAAAAGTATAAAATTCAAAAGAGTTCATGTAAAGTCATGGTATTTAGTAAAGAAGAGGGAAGAGGAGGAAGATGTGTTCAATGACTGTATAAACAAAAGAAGCGGTCACAAGATGTCTGGCACCAAGCCTGTTTATCTGCATTTCACATGCACTCACAAACACCTCATGACTGAGAGCGCAGCCGGTGAAACTGCTCCGCGAGGTTGCATCAGATCAGTCGACAGCCACGGGGATCTGATCCAATTGTGCTGCATTATGAACACAGAACAGTTGTGGGGTTTGTAATATTTAGATCGATAAAAGAGCAGAAAATGGAGATGAAACCGTGCATCAAGTGGACTCGACAGGCAAACACAAGTTATTGTTCCACAACCCATAAAAGTAACAAAGTGGAATTTTTTTTTCCTTTTGGCCTTCAGATGAAAAAATCTGCAAAGGAAAGCAGTCGTCTTTGGTTGCTCTCATGTGAATTAATCTCCACATTAAGGCCTAATGCTCATAACACTGAAAATACATGTTTAAGGGAAACATAATTCAGATGTTATTATATGAAAAAAGACTTGAATTCAGTGTTGAAGATGATAAGCATTCAACATAATAGGAACTAGTGAATTATGATGTTATTAGCTGATTTTGTAATATTTAGCTGGAGTTAAAAACAAGACAAAATGTGTGTTTTATGGAAGTTCATACGATGTACACCACTTCATATGAAGACGCTTCTGCTTTGGAGAAAAGAAATCACTTTTAGCTGAAGATACTTTTAACAAGTTGTTTCATTCAGCAGTGTAACTGAATGTAACTGTGTATGCTAATATTTAATGATTATAATTCTTTGTTCGATTAAAACAGACGCATGAGGCAAGTCCAACCTGTTTTCCTGAGAGGAGCAAAACAACACAACATCCCACACAGCTAACATCAGCTGACACACTGATGGATAGATAGGAATGAGCGCATTGTGGCAAAGCAAACACACAGAGCAGGCTGTTTACTAAATGTGAAGTTAAAAGTTAATATTAGTGAATTGACTTCGTGTGAAAATATTTCAGCTCGTGGCACAGCTGTTATTAAACCCCTCGCCTCACACGCCTCGGTACACCACCATCAAAATGCTGGACTGTGAATAAAGATGTGTGGAACTTTTTGTAAACCCTCTTAAATCGAAGCTGAAAGTTGGCACTTGAAGTGCCAACTTTGATGGTGGTGTACCGAGGCACAATTATAAAGACTTTGTTAATTTCCAAATACCAGTGGACCTACCTGTGCTGATTATGAACATAATAATAATACTAATATCTACAAATGTGGCAGCTTTTATAGTGTTTTTGCACAGCATTCAAATGCTGTGCTTGTAATCGAGGCTTCATCACTGATCCATGAGCCAGTCTTCATTCTCAAGACTTTAAAGTATTCAGAGTTCCCCAGTAGTCCTTTTGGTCATGTGATACACATATTACAAGTATAATGCAACCCTGTGATGGAGCGAGTTGAAAAACGCAGGAGTCACAGTAATTATTAGGAAAAATAGGGTTTCCATTTATTTAACCCCAAAATTACATTTACAAAAGTAATAAATGTTGAGCTCAAGAGGTCAAAGAAACAAAACTAAACTCAGGCAAAGAACTGAGCAAATGAATGCCCAGACAAACATAACTGACCTAAACAGGAAATGCCTCACAAGGGTATAGATAATGGCTGATCAGACCACTATGACACACGAGGGGTAACTAAACAAAACATAATCATAAAGTACAAAAACACCAACTCCCAGGCACCATGGCAGGTTAGTCAGAAGAAGCAACGGTTAGTCAAAGATCAAACAAAATAATGAACTGGTATGAATACATAAGTAAAGTAAATGTGTGCGCTTAAAAATAGAACAAATGTATCCAAACCAATCAATAAACTTATTGGAAACTAAAGTGTGTTATTGTGTTCAGATAAAAAAAAAAATACATAGGGGTTACGGACTTTTAGAGTGTGGCCATGGGTTTGATCATCACAATCCCAAATTTGACTTAACTCTAATTTTACTTCACAATAATAACTTTCCTGCGTTAACAAAGCTAAACCGACAGCAAAGGCAGAAGGAAAGCTGACGGGAAAACTAAACTAAACAATAAAATAAAAAAGAAGAAAAGCTGCAGTTTCAGTCTTGTGACTTCCAGCAACATTGTCCACAATCGTACTGCACGCATGTTAACTGGAATTATAAACATCGGTTAAACCGTAATAACTTTATAATAGCAATCCAAATAAAGTTTACAGATTTATCATTTTACAGACATCATTTGCACCTTTACAAAAACCTTTTTAAACCTTTATTAAAAACCATTTATGAAATAGTACATTCATTATTGTTACATTCATTGTTTACTGTGTTGATTCACAGTTGATTAACTATCAGTGTCCATTTATGATAGTTATTCCAGAATATCACCTAACAAAAATCTTGTAAAGCTGTATTGATTAAATATTGA